TCCAGGCGTTGCTTGCGCCTCTGTTAATATTTACACATAAGTGGCAGAAGCAATAGCAACGTTCTCTGCTGACAAGTAAAGGCTGAAGCATTATGACCTTGAGCCGTAAACCTCAACCCAAAACCTTGCATCCGAAACACCTGACTCAAACCCTGGGAGTCCTTCTGGGCCGGCTTCTTGCGGAGCTTCTTACTCCGAACCGGGTCCTTCCAGCAGCAGGAGTCAAGCCACTCTTTCGGTTCCAGCACTCAGCCCTGCAGCGTGGCAAAAACAGTTATCGGTACGTTCGAAAGGAACCCGCAACCTCTTGGGGTGACAGATAGAGTCATGACCACTTGTCAGGCGAGTCTCACACTTTGCTTTTCCAGAGTTCCCGAGCACACCAGCAGTTCAGGATTGTCAATTTGCTTTGGGCCTCCTTGGCTTCTATGTAGTCCAGCAGGTCATCAATGCTGCGCGTCTCTGTGGCCACGCTGCCCTGGCAGTTGGTTCTCTGTCCCACCTTTCCCCATGGCTTCTCTAATTAGTCCTGTCCCAGCATGCCGGGGCCTATAACAGACATGAACTTCTTTTCCATCATGTGCAAATTTGGAACCTAGTACATTCCTTGCCCTGATTCCAATCCTCGTGACTTGCCCCATGTGGAATCCATATGGCTTCACACGTTAGCTGGCGCAGTTCTGGCAAAGGCTGAACAAGTCGTGCTGGTTGGAGCTTAAAAAACGCTGCGACTTGACAATCTGACAGGTTACTACTGGCACTTTGGCCCTGAAAGCTCATGCGGCCGCATGCTACGTACAGAGCTGTAGTTGTAGTTAATGTTATCATTGCAGTAGTATTGTTTTTACTATTAGTATTAGTAGTAGTAACTTAGTAGTAGTAGTAGTAGTAGTAGCAGCAGCGGCAGCAGCAGCAGCAGCCGCAGCGGCCGTCGCCGCCGCCGTCGTCGTCGTCGTGGTCGTGGTTGTGGTCGCCGTGCTCGTGGTCGACGTTGTGGTCGTGGTGGTGGTCGTGCTCGTGGTCGACATCGTGGTCATGGTTGTGGTCGTTTTCGTTGACGTGGTGGAGGTCGCGGTGGTGGTCGCGGTGGTGGTCGTGGTGGTGGTAGCGGTGGCGGTGGCGCCGGTGGCGCTGGTTGTGCTGTGGCGCTGGTTGCGCTGGCGGCGCTGGTGGTGTTGATGGTGCTGGTGGTGCTGGTGGTGCTGGTGCTAGTGGTGCTGG